CGTATGGGAGGAGTGAAGGTACAACTTCCACATATTCTTTCAGGTTCGGGTTGTTTCACTCCTCTGTACCCACAGGACAGGAAGCTGAGTGGACTCCATGCGGTGGACAAAATAACTCCTACCCACGCCGGGAAACGAAGAATGTCGCAAATACTGAGCCCCCGTGGTTCGTTAGACAAACAACTGTGACTGATACAACACTGCTAAACAACCAACAACTCACTCCCTCATACTCGTCTATCACAATAGAACACAAGACTAAACACTGCATAATATGTTTGTATCACCATGACCTAGTAACAAGGCCCATTACTTCACTTCGAGATAAGGTAAACGCCTCAGTGACTTCAGTGGAGGGCTTTCCAACCTTGCTTAAATATGCAGGCAGTAAATGGAAACACAGACCTCCACAATACGAAGCAAGAGGGATTGTTAACCACTGAACTGCGAGGTTCGGTAGCAAGGATGGAGAAAGACTGTCCAGCTGGCACAGTCCACATCCTCACATCCTACATCCTTGAGATCTTATCTTGTATGCCTGAATCCCAAGAGCGGTCTCTTCCCTTCACGTTTTCCGACCAAAAGACTAAAACTGTAGTCGCATTTCTCATCCTCCTTGATTTGATTACTCCAATATTTGTCGAACACATACAGAGTAAAAATCCGACCTTCGGATGACATGTCTCCGAAACGTCCGATTTCTACCTCGTATCGAGGTGGCTGATTGTGCGAGAACACTGTTGTATTCACTCGTCGTTAAACTCTCTGATTTATTATCTTCATAGCTGACAAAAACTCCCCTTCTTTGTAGCACACTCTAGCAGTTATGAACCTCAAATTTTTACATTTTATATATGGAATACTAATGAGTTTAAAAAGTACTTCAGTGCTGCATTTTAATGAATAACTCATCTATTAGAAAAGTAATGCAAAATTCCATTAACACTGAAAGCTAAAAACACTTTTGAATGCGAATACAAGATAGTTAACATGCAATTAACAGAAATATTTTAATTCTCTTATCCTTCAGAACTAAAAACTGATTCGATATAAGACGTAAAAGTAGGGCAACGCTGAAGCTGCTGCATTCGTAAGGAAGCAATACGTCAT